CAGGGCGTAGTTTGTCCTCCCAGATCCAGTTTCTACAATCTGAGTGCCTGCAGGTCATGTAGTTGCGTCCCCACTGCATGATTGTGGCACCGAACACGATCTGGCCTGGAAGGTTCTTTAGGAAGTAGGGATCACGGGCAAAGTGATCAGGTAGGTCAAGATGTCCCCAAGGCGGATGGTGAGAAGATGAGCTTGAGCAGGATGCCTATGAGGCTGTCCAAGGCGAGCTCTGCCAGTTGCCGTAGGGGTCCGCAAAAGCGAGGATGGAGATCTCGAGGATTGCGGGCAATGGACGCTCACCCAGGTGGAACTCTAAGGCGGCGACTGTGTTGGTATTCGTTTTGCACACGTGGTGCTTGGGGGTTGCCGCACGAGCAGGGCTTTATGTGGGGCGTGCCTGCTTGGACCACTCACGGCTTGAGCCATGTATGTATGTATGTATGTATGTATGCATGTATGTATGTATGTATGTATATATACTATATACATATAATTTGTAAGTATCATCAACTGTTCGAAGTACATCATAGATGTCAATGTGTTTGCATGATGTAGCACTGCCCTGGCCTCGCACTCCTCCGCCGAACGTCGAACGTCCACCGTCCACCGTTCACCGTCCAGGCGAGGCCGAGTCGCCCGGCGACGCCACCGAGCACCGCGCGAAGCTGGCGAAGCTGCGGCAGATGTCGGACAGCGCGTCCGGACGCGGTGCCGGTGCGTCGGGTGCGGCAGAGGGTCCCGTGCGTCCGGTGCACCTTCGGGCCGGCTGGGGGCGGCAACTGGTGGTGCTCTTCCAACGGGAGCTGGTGAATCTGAGGCGGAACAAGGCAGCCTGGGGTGGGGTTGAGGGTGTGGATGTTCCACTGTGTTCCACTCTGAAATGTTGAAAGCTGTTGGATCACTTTGTGAGATTATATAAGTCTGATTAAGTGCCAGCTTTTCGTCCGAAGGCAGTTGGAAAACCAACGACATGTCGTTTTACTCACGTGTAGTGCATCCATGATGACTTGCGTCTTCCACACAGCCCGTCTCGTTTGTTCAGGCTCTCACACTTGTTCGAGCAGTGCAGTCCGTGGCATCCTCATTACTCATTGGCTTGATTTTCTTGCAATTGGAGCGCAACATGTCCAGCCTTCAGCCACGGCTCTTCTCCAGCTTTCTGCTGGTCTTTGCCCAGTTCCTCTTTGCACTCCTGGGCGTGGTGAACGCCTTCCCGGCCGAGCGTGCGGTCTTCCTGCGAGAGACACAGGATAAACTCTACCATCCAGCGATGTTCTACTTAGCCAAGGTTTCCATTGACACCATCATGCAGAGCCTCTTCCCGATCCTGGTGGTTGCCATCAGCTATCCGCTCATCGCTTTGAATGGCGAAAGCGCGGAGCGCATCCTGTGGTTCTATGCCATCATGGCGGTGGTCTCCAACTGTGGTGCCGGCCTGGGTTTTATGGTCTCAGCGGCCGTGCCCAGCGTCACATTGGCTTTGTCCATCGCGCCGGGCTTGGTCATGCCACAGCTGCTGCTGGCGGGGATTTTTATCAAGGTGGGAACTGGTTTGGGTGTCCGTTCTGACCTGTAACAGTCAGTGAGCAAGCAACTCACTATTTTAGAGAAGGGCCTGCAACTGAACCATCAATAGGATAATATACCGGATATACCCAAGGAACGGCTTAAGCAGAGGATGAGCGTTTGGCTCCAGAAAGTGCACATGGGGTTTCCAGCTTTACTGTTTTGGTATCGTTATCGTTGTTTCTATCATTTTAGGCTTGGTTTGAAACTTCCATAGGAATGGTCGCAGCAGAAGCACAACCAACAGCAGGACATCCTCTAATTCAAGCTTTCGCACACGAACACCCCTCTACATAATAAGTATACATCCCGCCATTTCTTTGCAACTTGTTGGGGTTCTATAATATGGAGAGGGGTGTTGTCATCACCAACCAGCCTGACTTATACGACAGCATGTGTAGTCAGAGGCGTGCGTTACCAAAGACATCCAAAGACCAAGAGCATGCGGTATGCATGCACAATGACTGTAAGATCAATCGCAGCACAGTGAAGGAGGCTTCCAAGAGCAGTTTGAAGGCGCTGTGTTTCGTGTCAACGCTTCGAAGTTCGTGGTTTTCTCTGGGGCTTAAGCTCGTGCTGTCGCTGGTGGGCTGTGCATTCGGGAGACCTCCTTCGACCTATCGCGGGGAGCAGAAATAGACCAAAGTCAATTGGTTGGGGGTAAGCCTATTCAAGACCACACGGGCATATATTAAAAGATCTGAATTAACATCTCAATATTCCAAGACCACACGGTGGTTCTATCCCCACCGCTGTACCGCACGCCGAAAGAGGGTTGCAGGCTCACTCTTGTTAGATTCCTGCCAGCAAGCACGAAGCTGGCCAGATCTCCGTGCTTCACGCTGCCCAATCATCCGTTTTAACACGTATTTCTTGCGGATGATGGCGAGATCCCGCCCAGGTGGACGATTTGCCCCAGCCCTTCAAGGCGATCAGCTACTTGATGGTGGCGCGCTATGCGGTGCAGGCGACCGTGGTGAATGAGTTCAGCTGCAGCGTCAAGGAGGAATGCACGCCGGAGGCGCTGTGGGCTGAGTTTGGCACCAGGTCTGTGGTGAATTTCCAAGGTCCCTAGTGATACCCTTGCTGGCCACTAACTTAGCAATGACTTGGTTCATTATATGCCTGCGACTGACGCAGCGTTCTGGTCCCTCGGTTCACCCTTCTGGTGACGAAGCGTGGCCTCCGTTCCATCCTCCTCTGGACGGTCGGACCTCAGTCGGAACGGACGGCCCGGAAGGGATCGGAACGGGGAGTGGCTGCTCCCCGGTCTGGATCGGGAGTCGGGTGGGGAGTCGAGGGAGGTCGATTCTTTGACGCCTGTGGGAGGTTTGGCGTTTGGCCGATGCCTCTCAATGTGGCTCCTCGCCTTGTGACTTCTGCTGCACGGCCCACGAGAGGAGGGCGGCGGGCGGCATTTGTCCCGTGCTCTCCTGCGACTTGGTGTCGAGGGTCGGGAAGATGTTCTGCCTTTCGATCACTCCATGCTGACCGGGGTAGACCCATATTCCAGCATATTCCCTGTCCAAACAGGTACAAAGAGTTGCCCAACCCCCTTCCTACCTGATGACTGGCAACTCAATCTTTCCTCCCAGTGATTCTCCCCCTTCCGGCTCCGACCCTCTCCAGCCGTGCTGCTTGACAGTCCCTTTCGACCGTGGAGCTCTTGGCTGATAGCGGATCTTAGGCGATGATGCTTTGGTAAGCTTGGGAATGGATGAGATTTGGCCCAAAGGTGCCTCTCCAGAGGAGACCATCTGGCATAACTTCGCGGGGCTCCTTTGCCTCCTACTGTTCTTCCGGTTGCAAGGCTGGTCATGGGAGAAGAGAAGAGGCCTCCGACTGGTCCTACTGGAACTCAGAAGCACCTCTTCTCTGGTCTACTAGGTCACCCTGTTTTTGGGTGGGGGAACCTTGCGCGACGCCGGAACCATCCGGAAAATGGGTTGCACCCCAAAAAGACGCGCAACCCAGCCTGCTGGAGCGGAATCGGCCGAAAGGTCTCACTCTAGGATCCCTTTTGGTTGAACAGTGCCACTAGTCACTAGAGTGTGATTGTCAACCACCGTCTTTGGTTCGAACGAAGGATGCTGCGTCGATCCACGATCATTGCCCAGTTCCAGCGACCTCGCTTCCGGCACTGCCAGGATTGAACGTTCTCATGCTGAGCTACCGCCGCGCGACCACGGGGTCAGTCCTGCCGTGTCGCTGCCCGAAGCGGGCCAAGGGCAAAGATACTGAATGAGCTCGTTGTGTTGGCGCACCAGACGTGGGCACCCACCACGCCTGGGACGTTCAGTCCCAAAGTCTTCTTGTGCGCTCCAAGACTAAGTGTGTTTGGCAGTTTGCTCCATGACGCTAGGATTGTTGCTTGTGAGACAAGCTCAGCTTCTTTGCCGTTCGCTCGCGACCAAGAGTCGCGAGTCGCAGGGTTTATACGCTTTAGTTTCCAAACATCAAATCTTGGCTGCATGCATAGTCCTGGAATTGGATGGGCTGTGCATCCGCAGCCTTGCTGGCTGCAAAGTCGGCACATGGTGGTACTAATGGGTGCCGCCTAAAGCGGTATGATGCTGAAGGGGTAGTCGTTTACATGGATTTGCTGAAAGCTTGGCTTTTTCATAGGGTGGTGAGGTTAAGGCATGCATGGTCTGTAATGAAGGGGGTCACAGGACGAGCATGCACACGCGGGGGTGGCCGCACTTCCTCGGAATAAGAGCACCAGCAAATACTGTACGAGTGATTTTAAGCATTTCCAACAGCAGGTCCACCTGACTGAAAGGCTTAGAATCAATACAAACCAGCCAAATGGCCTTCGAGTGACCCATAGCTGATTTCCTTTGCGAAGCAAAGGAACATGATTTGGGTTTTCCTCCCTTGAGGCCAGTGGCAGGTGAGACCAGCGAGACCAGCAAAAAGCAGAGCCCGTCCTGGGCGGAGACCAGCATTAGATCTATAATATATATATATATATATAAATGAATGACCTGAAGCAACTTCCACAAAGACAGACCCGAAGACCACACCTGGAACTACAGATAGCTGTAGAACGGCTAGAACGGCTAGGACACCTGCAGATCTGTTGCGGAAGGTCTGTCCATGTCCCATCTGGCACGGCCGAAACCGCTCGTGCGCCACCACGAGGTCCCCCACCAGGAGGTCCCCTCGCCACTGGAGACCGGCCCGGGAGATCCGAAGCTTCGGACCATCGAGTCTATCCATTGGGGACCGGGATCTCCCTATTCAAATGCACCCTGACCCTCTGACCCTCCCCTTTCTTGGGTTCAATCGACGGATGGTCCAGTCCACGAGTTCCACTCGATCTCATGAACGGAGGGTCCACCAGGGCTGAGCTGAAATGGCGTGAGGGATGGGATCTTCCGCAGCAGCCGCACCACGGTGCCGGTGCCGTGCTCGGTCCGGACGCACCCGAGGCCGTGCTACTCCACTTCTGCGTCTGCGACTTTGCCTCGTTCTGGCGGAAGCGCTGGACACAGCTCCTCGGTGAGACTTTTGGAATCGTGCCACACGGGGGTGGTTGGAGGAAGATGGCTTTACAATCTGGAGCCCAAAAGGCCACAGTAGGCCACTAGGCTTCGTGGCGGAAATGCCATTTGCCTTCAAAAGTTGCTCAAGACTTGGGATGTTGAGCCGACATGGATCAGTGTGCGTGAAGGGCATTGACCATGGCCCTCGGCAGAACAGAGTCTGTCACGCGCTCGGCAGACTGAACCGATCTCCACATGTCCTTTGTCATCTCCTCTTCCCGCACCTCGCCGGTGATTTTGCTCAGAAGAGCACTGGGAGACTTGGAGAATAGAGATGACCGTTGACCCAGAACCGTTGCACTCTTTGTCTTTGAAGTTGCTGGAGAGAGGAAGAAAGGAAGGTACTGATCAAACAACCCGTCCTTCAGATCAAACACCCCCAAAAAAGGACCACCGAGGGCGTCGCCTCCGCCTCCGAACGTCCGTCGCCTCCGCCTCCGAACGTCCGTCGTCCTCCGTCGACGGTCGCCGTCCGTGCGGGATCCCGAGCGCCGGATGCGGCACGGTTTCGACCGAGGCTGGGCTACTTGTCCGCGAGCGATCAGTTCCGCGTGCGGACCAGCTCGGGAGCCGCTGGACCTGCACCGGTAAAGCGCCCGTTTCTGGAGCTGCTTTTGGTACGCGTGGCCAAAGATTGGGCAAGCAACCAATCAAGGAAATAAGGACCAGGAGGTACAAGAAGGGTCATTGGCAACAGAAAGGTGTGGTCGGGGTGTGGCTCCTTTTGGTGTGAAAGCACCCAAGAGAATTGCTTTCATGTTCCAAAGAGCTGTTTGGATTTTAGACCCCTTGGCCTATAAGGCTAACATTAAAAGGACGACCTTAGAACTTAGAACCCAACACCCATGCGAGACCCTTCCCACAGGTTCTCTCGGGATTCGAACCTCTGCCTTCAGAAAAAGGCTCGGCTTGAAGATTCCGACGGTTTCGAAGGCCATGATGGCCCGCTTCTACCGTCTCCAGTGTCAAGGCCGCCAAAGTGAGGCGGATGCACCGAACGAAGCTCGCGAGGCGGTTTTGGTGTTTTTTTGGTCCTTTTTTCACCTACAGTAACCTTTCTCATGAACACAGTTCTTAACCAGAATCCAGGTAGGTCGAGAACGTGCTTATGTCCATGAACGGCTCTTCGATCTTTACCATCCACTTCCGCCCACCAACAGCCCCATGAATGTATCCGATTCGCTGGTTGCAGATGGGAATCTGAAGAAGTTTCATGAAAATTACGCACACCTCAACGCACCTCAACCCTCAACTTCCCCCTCCAAAAGGTCTAAACCCAACGGATTCTGTGAAAGACACACGTCGCTTGTCAGGCGCGTGAGCTGTTTGCCACAATGTTCCTCCAGAGCTCAGAGGCCAGAGTTCCTGGCAGTGGTCACTCCAACTGCAACTCCGAGTGTTTGGACATGATGAAGCTCCCTAAAGAAGAGCAATAGAGGACCGATGCATATCAACCTCACGTCGTTGTCCCGTTGTGACATCGTGGTCATAATCACGCTGGGGTGCTTTAGAATGCTTTAGATGTAGGATGTGTTCACACGGCGACGGAGAACAGGATGGACATGGACGCGGGAATCGGATGGAGCTGCCATGGGGAATGTTGATGATAAGGACGATTTTGATATCTTCAGTTCGGTCACTATGATTGGTATACTGTATATCTATATCAATGTCATTTCATGTTGTCTATGCGATGTTTTCTCCAGTGAAGTTCTGAACATTGTTGATGTCCAGCGAACACTCCATCCTTCTCCTGCCAAATAATCCTACCAGGCCACACGCAGGAATACTTTGTTGGTTTGGGTTTGCATTCGGGGCTTGCCAAGAGTATGATGGGCAAAGTCTATATGATTCTATAGCTGGCCATGTGGCATTTCGAGACGATGGGGATGTTCTTAGAATGCAGGCCTCCAGTGCCCCAAGGGCTTTGGCAGAAGCCCGCACATGTGGAATAAGCTGGATATTGCTTCGCGCGCCAGCAGCAACCACGCAAACATACAGGTTTGTATCAGAAGATGGCCAACTCCTATTATACCCTCTTGCACGACTTGACGCCACGCGCGCCGGACGCGCCTCACCTTCTGTGCTGGCCGCGCCTCTTATTTCTTTTGGCCCTTCTGTGTGCTTCCCAGTTGCGGAATTCGAGCGGAGGATGCGGAACATGCAAGGGATGCGGGTGGCAGATGCCAAAAGACCAGAGCCAAAAGAGGAAGCGCCAAAAGACTAGAGCCTTAGCAGGTCTTTTTGACGCGCATGGACAGACTGTGAAGCATGTTTAGTGGACAACAAATCATCCGCATGAAAAGCTCCCTTTGGAACCACTTCATCGTTTAGAAGACCCACCCGCAGATCTCCCATCCGCAGATCTCCAAATCGGCCCGCGCGCGGACACCCGGACCATGGAGTGTCAAGAAGCTTCGGTACCGTTGCGGCAGCTCAAGGCGGTCTTGGTGGAAGTTTTAGAGGCCACGGGATCCGGGGGCACCAGCAATGCGTTGGAAAGGGGTCGGCTGGATGACACGACCGGAGTCTGGTCGAACGCCAGCGGCCTCGGGGCCATGGCCAGTTCTAACCCCCAATAACACATCACTCTCACTCTCTCTCTATATATACATATATATGGTTTTCACCTGCTGAGGAGCTACTTTCACCGAGGGGCTTCCTAGATTGTAACAAGAGGCAACCAAGAACTCGACGCAATCCACATTTTTCGGCATCCAGGTCACCCCAGAGATTCCAGTAGAATGGCCGTATCCTTGGTATGCGCAGCAAACCCGTACGTATCGTTTTTTTGCTTGCTCGCTTGCTCGCTTGCTCGCTTGCTCGCTTGGCTGCTTGTTGTTGTTGTTGTTGTTGTTGTTGTTGTTCTGGCACTTGGGTAAAATGATGTGAGGTGATCAGGGTTTCCTAGAGATTCAGAAAACCTTCGTTGGTCCTCTGCAAGCCAGAAGCCGCACGTGAACTGAAAGTCCGGAACTAAACTAAAACAAAGTCCACAACCTTTTTTCGTGTTTTCAAAATCCATTTTCCACTTAATTTTGCTGGGCCTTTGGCTTGGGCCTCCTCCGAGTTCTCGCGATTGCAGGAGAAGCTGCGCGAGCTGGAGCTGCGGCTGGACAGCCACCGCCGAGCGCGCTCGCCTCGGCCGCGCCACGACCGCCACGACCGCCACGACCGCCACGACGCGCGGCGGCTGGAAGGACCGGATCGGGGGGAAGGACCACATCGCAAGACCGCTACTAGTATTGCTACTGGTAGCCTAGCAGCCTCCTAGCTATGAGTGGTAATTCCCTTGAGCCCTAGTAGGCCCTAGTAGCTTCTAGCTACTACGTTTCGCAGGCCGGAGCAACAGTGGAGCAAGGGCTGTCGGATGCTGTCGGTCTGTGGATGTACCGTACACTTGGCCCGTCAGGAGCATCGATGCCATACCAATCAGAGTGTCTTGGTTGCTTTCAAAGATGGCTTTTACATGTATATGCATCCAGATGGTCCCACAAAAGCTGAAATGGCCAAGGGAAATCAACTTTGCTTCCAACATGGACCTGCCAGATTTGAGGTCTAGGAGTCCTCCTTCCCTTCCGCCTGTCCAAGAGGATGGGGATAAGAAGTACGTCCGAGTCCGAAGATGAAGAAGCCGACCTGACCAGATGCCCCAAAGGGCAGAAAGATACCCCGTTTTTCTTGCACCTTTTGCTCGCTCGAAGCTTTTCGTGGGAGATGCCGGGTGTTTTTCCCGAGAATCGAAGAGCGGCAAGGAGTCGGAGCATGGAGAGAACACCGGACATGAAGATTGGGGACCAAAGGGTTCTAGGGTTCTAGCCGCCGCTAGCCTAGCCATGAAACAGCATCTAGCAAAATGACACCCATCAGATTTCCCAACATTTCCGCCGTCCGCCAGCATGGGACCGTGCGTTCCGCACTGGTCGTCCAGACGACGGCGAGTCGGTTCAAAGCGACTGAGGTCAATGGTAAGGCGAGGGGGGTCGGACCTGCATTTGGATCCTTGGATTGGGAGATTTCTTTGTCCCGCACTTGTTCAAGAGAATCCCCTTGGAATCCATGCACCGGAGGCATTGGCATCCTCCTGATTGGAATAAGATTCCAATTTAGGGGGTTGGGTGGCAGAAGGAAGAACTGCGGAGTGATTGCAAAACAACCGGTGGTGGCGAGCGACACGAATCCGATAAGACGATTCGCACGGTGGTGGCCCCCTAGTAGCGTCCTTGCTCCTACAGTAGCGATGCCAGGAGCCCCTAGTAGCTTCTTGTTCCTAGATTTCCTAGTAGCAATGCCCTTTGTTCCTAGTAGGGAACCTTGTTCCTAGTCCTGGCCAATTCGTTTGCTCTTGCATGTTTGCATGTGGAGCCCTCCATGTGTAACACACAAAACTTGTGTTTGACCACGCTGATGAGCGCTATGATCTTCAATGCCCTTGCATGGAGACACGTTTGTGTCAATCTAAATGATTGCAAGGTTCTTTGTTGGACATGTGGCTGTTGGTTGGGCCCTGGAAACTTCACTTCCTCCAACAACTTTAGGTTTGACTCGCCCGCATGGAAACCGTTAAAGAGATGCCATAGATGTTGCAAAATTGCCGGTTTTGACTTCGGACATTGCAAACGCTACAGATCCCTGAAACCACAGAAAGCTACAGATTTGTTGCTGCGAACATTGCGTGAAGATTTGCAAAAGATTAATGTCAAATCACCCACATTAAAACGTCAAAAAACGCAAGATTTATGTCAAATCTGTCGTTTTTTTGGGGGGATGATTTGCCCAGATGGAAACCAACAAAACAACACCTACGTATACCTACGTAGAGTTGTGTTCATTTAGCCAAGTGTTTGCTAGCAGACAGGTTGTCAAAACACTGTTCTGGCCTCTTGAAAAATACAATTTGGTGGGAGTAGAAAACCCCTCAAGGTCCTGCACTTCTCCAACTCCACCACACCTCCCTGAGAGCGTCTTCCCACCTCGAAGCGGCTCCCTTTTCTTCTTGTCATGATCAGACTGCCATGTTCGTGCACCCCCACGGCGCTGAGAACAGCTCCGCACTCCCACCCACCGGCCGGGCACAGACAGAGACAGAGAACGGCCGGGCACATCTGCTCCACACGCATCAACCGAGGACATGGAACGCAGCTTGGAGACGGGTGCCTTCCCGAGTCTGCTCCAGCGACCGGAGGACCGGAACTCGCCCACGGTCTCCAAGGAGCGGGGTGTCTCCCTGTCACGGAGACGGGTTGGGATTGGATGGAAGAGACTGGGGCGGTTTTTGGTGGGAAATGATGGGATTGGAGGCATTGGTATGTTGGAGCTGTTGGATGGCAAAGGTGGCCTAGGCCAGGTGGCCGGGCGGAAGAGAGGTTAGAAGGCAGCCAGGGGTGTTTTCACCGCGCCGGGTTGGCAGACCGTGTCTCCGGTTTTCGGCCTCCAGTCCCGGAAGACGTGCATCGGCCTTGATCCACGGAGCGCCAGATGAGACATTTGGGTCAGAAATGGATGAACGATGTTTTCTTCTGATGTTTCTGGTTGCCTCAGGACACCACGCACACCTCATCGCATATCACAGAGATGACAGAGGAGGACGGGAAAGGGTGACTGACTTTGACACAGACAGCCGCCTGATAGAATGTGGGACCGTCTCAACAGCACTCAGGTAATAATGATGGACCAGGGTTGCTTGGATGGTTGCCATTGGACACCTACATCGGTCCTCCCGGTGTGCCGCTATAACAAGTGGATAATGCATTGGAGATCGCTGCCTTTGTGGGGCAAGGAGCGACTGGTAGGACCTTAGACACCTCCTTGACTCCTTGAGTCCTTGAGGTCTCCTCGCCCGCTTTCAAGCAGGACTCCACCATGACGACCTACCACATCCAGCATGTGGGCAGCGGACAAAGCACGTTCCGCGGCCCTGATCCGTCACGCCGGTGCTGGGGTGAGCGAATAATCTTGTCAGGAGATGTTGGGATTGATATTGACCTGACATGCTCAGATGACATAGACCTACATATATCACAAGACGGTCAGAGGACTTTTTTTTGCAATCTGGAGGCTGTCTGGTCATAACGAAAGATCACCGCGCTACAGGTTCTACTCAGCATGGAATCTCTTGATGTCACGGTCGGCCAACGCCGTTTTCGTGATTCATTTGACCGACTGGCGCTGCTCGGTTCGAGCTGCAGGTTTGAGAAGAAGCGGAGCCGCCTGTCCAGGGGCGGTGACGTTGCTCATCATGAATATGCCACTATGAAGCAATTCGGAGGGGTTGGCTCTGTGGCTGTGGCACGTTTTGTTTGGAAGGGAGGAAGCGGATAGGATCACGAGGTTTTCTTCCTGTCATTCTACTCCT